TTTATAGAAATAAAATTTTCCTTTGCTTTGCCACCTGGATTTTCTCCAAGTCAAGGTTCTCCCTTGACTCCCAAGGTGGTCCTAGGCTGGTCTTGCCCCCTGTGAGCTGCCAGAAACATGTGAAGCCAGGCGGCCTCAGAGGGCAAGCCAATGGTTTCTGGTTCAGAGCTTTCCCCAACTAAGCCCAACCTGACTGGCCTTCATTTGGCCCTCCCTGTTTGTTTCCTGTTGCCTGGATACCAAGATGAAGGACTAAGCAGGGGAAGGTGGTGCCAGAGTGGGTGGGACTCAGAGGAAACATGCTCTGCCCTCTGCCCAGGCTGGCTGGGAGGTAGAGGGAAGTATTAACTGGCAGGGGAGCAATAAGCCCAGCCCAAGTTTCCTCCCTCTAACATGGGCTCCCTGAAATACTCAGGAGAACCCTGAGTTTCCAGAACTACAGGCACTTCTGCATATAGCTGGGGTAGGAAATACATGAAGAGGGTTCCATCATGTAAAAAGAACCTGAACTTCTTTTGGGGTTTTCATATGAAAGAAACAAAGAACAGAAGTAGGACTATGCATAGACATACAGGAAGACACAATGGACTCAATATTATACACACACACACACACACACACACAGAGTGGTCGTGGGGCTTGAACTCAAGACCTGGGTGCTGACCCTGAACTCTTTTTGTCAAGGCTAATGTCGTACCACCTTGAGCCACAAACCCACTTTCAGTTTTCTGGTGGCTAGTTGGAGATAAGAGTCTCATGGACTTTCATGCCAGGGCTGGCTTTGAACCACTATCCTCAGATCTCAGCCTCCTGAGTAGCTAGATTATAGGCATGAGCTATCAGTACTTGGCTAATTGCCTCAATATTAAGAACTTTCTGAGCACTAGGGCTGATCAAAAATGACCAGGTTCATTTATAAAGCAATGAGTGCTCTGATAGTAAGGGTCTGCAAACTCAGACTGTCCAGCTACTTAGCTAGTTTACTGGCTCCACCTCAGGAGGAGGAGGAGTCTCAGAGGATCAGCTGATTAGTACTGAGGAGATTTCATTAGCTAAAGGTCTTCGAGGTATCTTCCAGTCTTGAGGTTCTATGGTTTGGTGCTCACCCCTACTAGCCTAGAGACAATCTTTTCATTGGAACCATGGAGAAAATCTCTCTCTCTCTCTAGTTCCTTTCAGACCTCAGGCTCTCCACTCTCTGCTCTCCACCCCCCCTTCCATCAACTTGATTCCTCTTGCCGGTGGCTAAGGTCATCTCAAGCCTCAACCCAATTCTTGTCTCAACCTCAGAGCCACCAAAGGGCACTGAGGCAATGGCTACCCCTTTCCCCTTTTCCTCTTTCCTAGGAGAATGTGGACAAGACACGCAGAAAGAGACATGAGGTTGCACCTTAAGAGGCATATGGGGGGGCTGGGAAGGTGGCTCAGTGGTAGAGCGCTTGCCTTGCATGCATGAGGCCCTGGGTTCGATTCCTCAGCACCACGTAAGCAAAAAGAAAAAAGCAAGAAGCAGCGCTGTGGCTCAAGTGGTAGAGCGCTAGCCTTGAGCTGAAGAGCTGAGGGACAGTGCCCAGGCCCAGAGTTCAGCCACCACCCCCCCCACCAGACCCAAATAAATAAATAAATAAAGAGGCATATGGCATCTGGAAGCCATGGGCATGAAGACAGAGAAGTTTGAGCTACCTATTGAAGACCAGTCAAATCAAGTATCATTGTAGATTGCTGGAAATGCGGATTTCCAGGCAACATTGTCATGGTTTACCTAGGGAGCATCACAGTGCATAGAACAGGAGATAGGCCACCCTGGACAGCAGCCTTAGCTGGGAAGAGCTCTCTGGTCTTCAGCAGGCTGTCTCTTTTTCCATGGCTCTCAGCTCAGAACCCCAGGTTTGTTAGAAGTCATGGTTAGGAAGGGTGACGGCTAGGAATTCTGTCTTAATCCCCAACAATCTTTGTACTCCGACTTCTTGTCTGAACCTATAGCGTCTCCTCTCTACTGTCACCTCAACAGCTGCCACCCCTTTTTACCCCCCAAAGCTTTGTGTGGCTTTGAACTCTCACAACCCCTTTCATCTTGCCTGTTCCAAATGCTTTTACTGAGACCAATTAATGTCCAGCTGTGACCCAAGTCACTGATCAGGGTTCTGAGTCTTTTGGGGCCACTGGAGGACATCCCAGAACCCCACTGAGTCAGGGACCGCCTAGCTCAGCCACCAGGACTGGCTGCTGAGTCATGACCCACTGGAGCAGCTTCAATGGCAGGTGCAAGGTTCAGAGACAGCCCCCAAGCCGCAGCAGGCGAAGGGGCAGGGCACAGAGCCAGCTGGAAGCTGAGGCGCACGTGCCCGGGAAGCAGCGCCCAAGTGCTCTGAGGCAGAGGGTGAGGAAGGACCTAGCCATTGGCTTTTCCAGGCTGGACTAGCCCAGTCTGACATTGCAAAGACTAAAAAGACCTCAAAGGCACAAGACAAGCTGCTAGAAAGTCCTCAGAAGCTCAGATATACCTTTCTGTGTAGGATAATGTAAAGAAAAAAAAAGAGACATAAAGGAATATGTAATCCATGTAAGTCAATACTAGTGTGAACACCTAAAAATAAATACATCTTTGGCCAGATGCTGGTGTCCCGGGCTTTTAATCCTAGCTACTCAGGAGCCTGAAATCTAAGGATCACAGTTCAAAGCCAAGCCAGGCAGAAAATCCCATGAGTTTCCTATCTCCAAGAAACTACCAAAAAGCCTGAAGTGGACTTGTGGCTTAAGTGGGAGAGTGCTAGCCTTGAGCAAAAAAAGCTCAGGGACTGTGCCCAGGCCCTGAGTTCAAGCCCTAGGATGAGTTCAAGGCCTAGGATGGGTGCGTGCACGTGCGCACGCGCGCGCGCGCAAACACACACACACACACAAATGCATCTTTATACCAACAAAGAATGCACCCAAAGCACCTTCTCCTTAATCTCTAGATTTGCAGCCTCCCAGACATCCCAATGCTGACCCAGATGTGATTTTCACAGTGTTTCCTTCTTGAAACCTCCTTGGCAGACCTCCCCACCGGCCCATACACACCCAAGGGCTAATCTCAAGCAGGGAGGCTGAGCCTGGTCACTTCTGATTCCTGAGCCTGGGGACTACAGAGATCTGAATGTCACACGCAGGCTCCACCCCCACTCAGCAGCCCACACTCACACAGCCTCCTGCTGGCTTGGCCACCACTGATCCCCACTTAAGCCAGAGGACTTCTGCTGGGAAAGAGAGGGGTTAGAGGGTTTATAAAAGATTTCCACAATCCAGGCTTTTAGCTGGCTAGTCTGAGACATCGGACAGCTCTCAGGAGTGCCCCATTTTTAGGAACTAGGTTCCCGCTGACAAGTCAGGCTGGTTCTAGAAGCCATGAAAACCTGGGCAATGTACTTAGAAGTCCTGAGAGAAGAAATTAGTGAGATTGCATAGGGCAGCCCTGGACAGATCTCTGCAGTTCCCTCCCCAAACCATCTTTTGCTTGGTCAGAGATTGCTGCAGTCTCCCCTTCTCCAAGTCAGAATTTTATTCTTATATTCTATAACTGTCCTAGGTTTAAGCTCTATCCAAAGAGTCTCACTTTTGAGGCTTGGGATCTAAAGCCCTACAGGCTGGCAGGGCAGCAGCAGCTTCAATCAGATGACAACCTTGACTTCAGTCTGTGAACTTGGTCCGTTTTTATATACATGGGCTTAGGAGTTGGGAGTATGGAAGCCCCTTCTTCCCTAGCTTGCATTCCACTGGGGTCCAGCCTTGAGTGGATGATTTAGGTCAAATTTCACAAGGCTCTTTCTGACTTGAGCTCTGGCTCCAGCTGGGAAAGTAGGTCCTATGAAAGAGATCAGCTTTCCTAGGAAGTAGGGCTGCGGTGGTTAGGGGTAGTGAGTAGGGATGGTTACAAAGTCTTACTCTCCAACAGCTAGTGGTGCTGTGGAGAGGGCACCTGAGGCAGTTGCTCAGACCTGAGGAAGAGGAAGCACAGGAAGCAGCTTGCTGACTCTCCTTGGGCCCCTTGAAAAGAGGACTCTTGCCCCAGGCCCTTGTAACCTGGCATCGTAAACATTCAGGACGCGCCCAGAGCCGCCCTCTCCTCTGGTGCAGTATGCATGGGGGAAGACAAGGCTGGGCATTAGATATAAGAAATGGAGTGAGCTCCTAGGACTGGCAGAGATAAGAGAGGCATCACAGTGGTGGCTGCTGGCAAAAGGCCCTTTCCCTCCCAAGAGGTACTGAAAGAGAGAAGTGGCTCCATTATTAGATACTAGCACTCCTGCCAAGACGTAAGGCTTATAGCCAGGGACTTCCAGAAGAGCTGGGCCCATTCTAAAGGTACCAGAAATTTGGAGGAGCGGTGGAGAACCAGGAGAACAAATCAGAGGCTCTCAGGATTTGGAAGTGAGTCTGTAGCCGTTTCAGAGTGCCGAGAGGGTACCTGGCACATGGCAGGTACTCAGTAAGTACCTGAGTCAGTGAATGAATAAATAAAGAGTAGATTGGGACTAAAGTGAGGAGTGAGCACAGACAGAAATGGCGTTGGGAAGCCCCACTTAGGGAAGGGAGGTGGGCTGAGGAGGGCTGTGCCGTGTGAGGCAAGGGCAGCCATGCTTGGGTGAGGAGCCTTCGTGGAGATGGAAAGGGATCAATGTTCCTGGATTCATGCACTGTTCACTCACAGATAAGGTCTGAATCATGGATGTGAGCTTTGAAAGAGCTCTTAGACCTGGAACTTCTTACCCAGCTCTGCCCAGCCCAGCCCCATGGCCAGCCCTCCTAGAGCAAGTATACAAACAAGAAAGAGTATGCTGTAGTTGATGACCCGTGGGCATCACAGAAACGCCAGTTGACCCCAGTTTAGGGGGAATAATCATGTGGGGACCCCCTCCCATTCCGTCACCCTGGGCATCACACAGCCTGCACGTGGGTTCCCAATTTCCCTTTGCCTTCAGTGGCAGGCAAGAAAGCCAGGCTCTTCCTTAGAGAAGTAGAACAGATTTAATCCATAACTTTGAAATGTCTAGGTTTGCAGCAATTGTGAACCACGAGATACTAGACAGAACCAGTCTTCCAAAAAGACCACAGAGGCTCCTCATCATTTCACAGAGGTGAATGCCGGGATGTTAGCCTTGCGCTCCGCTTCCACGCAGTACTTCTCAGGAAGGCCCGTGGCTCTGTGGGGGAAACATGGGACAGGTATAAGCAAGGTGATGGGCCTAAGTAGAAGTATGAAGAAGTAGGTCCTGGGCTTCTAGAACCTGGGGGCCTGTGCCCACAATCTACCCACCCTGCAAAAGCACAATCTACCCACCCACCCCCAAAGGTCCCTGCACACTGCCAAGGAGCTCTCAGAAAAACCAAGAAGCCTGAGCCCAAGAATCTTCTGCTAGAGGGTCCCTAAAGAGTGTGAGATTTGTGTGTCTGAGCATCTCTGCCGTGGCTTGTCATCCCTGAATCCACACTTAGAAATAAGCATGTTGTAAAAAACTGCCATGCCATCACTTTGGAGAAGGGAAGAAGAATGGAGAGGAAAAGACTTCAGGGTACCTCAGGTCTTCCAGCTTTTTCTTCTTGATATCCTCAATGCGTTCACGCCGTTTCTGGGCCTCTTCTTTGAGACGCCGGCCCTCTTCAAAGGTGGCAATCCGGTTTTGCACCTGCTTCTGCTGATTCTCACGCACCTGGCGCCGGAGCTCATTGGCATGCTGCAGGCGCTCTGAAGCCCTTTTCTCCTCCTCCAGCCGCTCCTTCTCAATCTGTTCTCTCTGAGCTCTGGAGGAGACACACAGGAGTGGAATGGGCTAGGCTGCTCCGGAGATCACAGCCCTCTTATTCTGCAGCTCAGGAATCAGCCCAGAGTCTCCCAGACCCCAGCCATCTTCTGTGGCTCAGGGATCCGCTCAATGTGGCCACCATGTTTGCTCCCTCCACCCCTTTGCCAGAACCAGCTTTGTGTCATGGGCATGCTTAGAAGGGCCCTAGCCTTGGTTTAATGCTCTGTCATGGTACTGAAATTCTTCATAATTTTTTAATAAGAACTTCCACAGTCTGATTTTACACTGGGCTCTGCAAATTATGTAGCAGTATTTACAGCCATGGTTTCACCCACTGGGAGCTGTTGTTCATACTCTTTCGTCATAACAATGCATAACTTCCCTCCAGCTTCTTTTAAAATATATTCCTTTTTTCCCCCTTACTTCTGTCCTGCCTTCCTTCCTCTCTTCTTTCCTTCCTTCCCTCTCTGATGATAATAGCATTAACAAAACCAAGCAAGGAGGAGAGAGCAAAATCTGTAATGCTTTCTTTACCTTGGCTGCTAGAAAGAAGAAGAGAACTCAGTGGGATACCTCTTAGTTTGCTATTGATCGTCTCTAAATTCTCTAAATTCTCTAAATTCCTCTTCTATAAGAATGCTTCATGGACTCTGACACTGAGGGAAAAAAACACTAATGACAACCAGATAGGCTCTGAAAATTTCAAATGAAATATATTCACAGGTGGACATGGTGGCTCACATCCATAATCCTAGCACTGCTGTTTGAAGCATGTCTAGGAATAAGCTCCTTATATTCATATCAACCACTAAAAAGCTGGGCACCGTGTTGCCTGCCTGTCATCCTAACTCCCTAAGTATAAATAGGAGGATCATAGTCCAGAGGCTGGCCTAAGCAAAAACTGAGAGCTTACTGGAAAAAAAAAAATCACAAAAGCAGAAAGGACCAGGGCATGGCTCATGCTGTAGAGTGCCTGTTAACAAAAGAAAGGCTCTGAGTTCAAACCCAATACTACCAAAAAAAAAAAAAAAAAGGAGAAATAAGTTTGCATCTCAAAACAAATGCAGAGGCCATCTTGAGCTAACATCTAATTTTCTTCTCAATATAATCAAGAATGAAAACAAGATATTAAAATCGGCTTGAGGAGGGATCACTTAACTGTTTTTCTCCAATAGGCTCAGCAAAAATCCCCAAAGCGTTGTTTTATATATTCATTTCCCTCTTGTTATCTTTCAAGATTCCCCATACAGAGGGAATACTCCCAACCCCCAGCAGTTGTTTTCCCCATACACATATCCCTGAAAACTCCTCTGCAGAGACTTCCCCATGTGGGAAGAGAACTGCTGACCTCCTCTCTGTGTGCCTGAAAACACCAAGTGTCAGACACATGTGACAGCAAGAACCCTGTTCTGCACTGATACCATTTTTACTTCACACTCTTCTGAGCTAAAGTGTGAGGGTGGAAAAGGGGTACATGTATGTGTCACTGCAGAACCCCTGGGCAGCTGAAAATCCAGATAGGGAAGAGGCTGCTCATTGCCCAGAGCTAGGGCAGTGAGCATGGCATCTGGCTGCATAGTAGAATTGGCTAGATTTGAAAGATACTGATATATGGGCCTTACCCTAGAACATTTAAATAAATCTATGGGGGTGGAGGGACATGAGTGTTTTTCAAAATGCCCTAAGTATGTCTATGAACCACTTGGGAGGGTAGACTGGATATCTCTGCTTAGTAAGGGTGAGAGTCCAAGGAATCCCTCTGCCCAGATGCAGGAAGTCTACATGTAGGCCATATTGGATGGCATGCTTTTGAAGTAGGAAACTTTGGATGGCTCACTATGGCAGAGACACTCTTAGAGTGAAGACTTCCATCACAGAGGTCACGTGGCTTGGAGACACTGGGTCTCAATACTAAAGCCAAACTTCTCCAAAGGGCTTTAATAACTGGCTAGTGTGTATGCTTTAGGCAAACAAAGCAAAGCAGAAACAAATGGGTCAGCAGCAAAAGTAGGACTTTAATTTCATTCCATTAATATTTATTAGTGCCTGCTAAAGGCATGCAAATGTCCAAGGGCACAGAGGCCCGGAAGAAGAGGGGACACATCTGGAAGCTAATCTAGAGCCTCAGGGCAGGCTGTTTGGCGTATTTAGGAAGCTTCTTTCTTTACCAGCTATCCAGTGAACACAGAACAACCCTGAGGGTAGAGAAAGCGCCAGAGCCAAAAGGTATCACAGCCTGGAGAACAGGCTGGGGGCCCTAAGCCAATAAAAGATCAGGAATCTGGGTCTGGCAAAAGGCAGAGGTTCTTACAGGTCTTTTCTGCCTTTGCTAAGCATAGGGACATTCTGATGGCAAGCCATTTCACTGGCAGAGTTTCAAGAGGAAAGACTTACAGCACAGATACCTAAAGAGTTGAGCTCTGGTATTCAATGCCACTCATCTGAGTATAAATTCTATAATTTCACATTCCCCAAATTTTGTTTGGTTTGTTTCCTTTTGTGGAAAAAAAAATTCTGATCTTACAAAAGCTGTACCCAGAGCAAGAAGGGAGATTGACTAGGCCTAATCTTAGCAGATCTGACAGGTAGAGAATAGAACAAAGAAGGGAAGCCAAGGGGACCCCTGCCTAGGACTGCTTTGGGGGAAAGCTCAGAACAGGGAGCAATGTGGGCAATTAGCTTCCACTTAGGCAGTGGAATTACCATTGAGCCAAAAGAGAGAACAGAAGATAAAGAGCTGCCAAACAGGAAAGATGGATGAATCTAAGTGAGGGCCATCCAAATATAAATCTCTAACATCTTCCCTAAGCAAGAGCAGTGCTTATCCATCTCTAATGTCCTCCATGGTATCCAGCACAGAGCCCTGACCACAGATGTTCAAATGTATTTGTCAAGACAGTGGCAAAGCCCCTCTTCGAGTCCTGTTCTGATGGAATGATCCTCAGTGACTGAAGCTCTTCTGTCTCTCCTAAGTCTCTGTTGCTGCAACTGCATCTCTAATTTGTAGAAAGGGGAGCAGAAGGAACCAGATTTATACCTTTATTTACATTTAGATTGGTCTAGGATAAAAACCCTCCATAATCCCTAATTCCTTAGACACTTCCCAGATTCTATTTTCCAATTCTCTAATCAGCTCAAGTGGCTTAGAAATATCTCGGTCGTTCATCTAGTGAGAATCACTTCACTGACATGGTCAAGATGAATGCACATCCATCCATTCAAATGCCAGAAAATTTCTCTCGGTCTAATATGGACCATCCTTGCTCCAAAGGCCTCCACTCTACTGCAGACAGGGAAAGGAAGCTCAGGTTCCCAGGCCCCTCCTACCGAAGAATCCTCTCGAACTCATCCCGGTCTCGTTGCACCTGGACTGCTAGAGTGTGTTCCTTGAAGGCCACCTGTTCGAGCCGGGTCTTCCGCAGATCCTCTTCTGTTTCTATCCTTTTCTGTGCATTTTCTTTTTCCTTTCTGCGCCACTCCCGGTCTGCCACCTCCTGATTGCGCTTGGCACGCAAGGCATCCTGGATAATAGGGGTCACCCTGCAACCTCAGTGTACAGACTAGTTATCTATAGCAAGACACCTACTTATAGATTTTACTTGCTCTGTTTTGAAAAGCACCATAGATTTCTCTAGGCAGCAAAATCTGCTGGGAAAGAATAAATGGACTCTTGATGGAAACTTTTGGGTCAGAAGATACCCTGAGGGGTCACCTTGTCCTTCTACCCTTCTCTCTGCAATTCTTTCCCTGCTTCTCAAACACCTCCAGGCACTCCTGCAATTGCTTCTAATTTTAAAAACTGCTAATGATGGAGATGCCAGTTTCCTCTGGTGACATATTTCATTGGTCAGTTAAGGTTGGAAGTTGTTCTTTATATAGCAGCCAGGAAAGTTTCTCTTGACCCTAAGCACCAAATGTTATTCTTTCATAACTGCCATAGGCTTTGGGAACCAGCCCACACTGTCATCCTCAGACAACTGAAGGCTGTTACACATTTGCCATCCTCTCTTCTATACCTCCACCCTGGAGGCCACTTTGCAGTCCAAAGGAATTGCTAAGGGAGCTGGAGAGGCAGGGAGAAGCTGGGAGGAAGAAGTGGGTACCTGTTCTGCCTGGTAGTCCTGGGCCTTCTCCTGCAGGGCCCTGAGGCGGGCAATCTCCTTCTCTTTCTCCTTCCGGATTTTCTCCTGCTCAGCCTCAAATTCTGCTTCTCGAGCCTGCCGGGAAGAAAATTCCTCATAGAATAGCTGTTGTTTTCCTAGCAGCAACACAATCTCTGTAACAAACACACTGTGCAACATCCCTCCCTCCCACTTCCCAATTCCTTTCTTTTTTTCTCTTCTTATTATTTTTTGTCTTATTTACAATCTTCCAATAGTGGTAACAATGGGGTTTCAATCTGACACGTCTATTCATGTGTCCAACACTTCCGTTTTTTAAAGATAAGCAAAAGAAACATAAAATCTAGCATTTGTAAAAAGCTGCATTCTCTACAAAAGATTTTCCCATGCATTATTACCCAGAGTGCTCTCACAGCATCTTACAAGACAAATATTATAGATGAGGAAAATGATTTGAACACAAGACTCCTGAGAGCAGCTTTCTTGCTCCTTCTACACTTCCGAAAACTTTGAGTTGCAAGGGTACATTGCCAAGTAACTCCTATGGCTCTTGCCTTCCTTGTAAAGTGTAGCAGGTGGAGGTTATCTCATTAGTCCCTGGGCAAATAGCCAACCATGCTTTGGGCAATACCACAGTGGTTAACAGATACCTGAAGAATGAACCATTAAAATTAGTTCACTTACCACCTCTCTGAAAGAACAGACATATCCCTAATGTTTCCTAACCACTCTTTCCCAAGTAGACAAGTAACACAGGCTGATTGGAAATTCAAACTTCCCAGAAAGAACTTCGATTAGTGCTCATTGATATATAGTCATGTGTTATATAGTGATGACAGTATCTTTTTGTTGTTGGGGCTTGAACTCTGGGCCTGGGCAATGTCCCTGAGCTCTTCAGCTCAAGGTGAGTGCTCTACACCTATGCCACAGCTTACCACTTCCAGTTTTCTGGTGGTTAATTGGAGATAAGAGTCTGACAGCCGGGCGCTGGTGGCTCACGCCTATAATCCTAGCTACTCAGGAGGCTGAGATCTGAGGATCGCGGTTCAAAGCCAGCCCGGACAGGAGAGACCGTGAGACTCCTATCTCCAATAAACCACTAGAAAACCGGAAGTGGTGCTGTAGCTCAAGTGGTAGAGCGCTCGCCTTGAGCTGAAGAGCTGAGGGACAGCGCCCAGGCCCAGAGTTCAAGCCCCACGGCCGACCAAAAAAAAAAAAAAAGAGTCTGACAGACTTCCCTATCCAGGCTGGCTCTGACCTGCGATCCTCAGCTCTCAGCCTCCTGAGTAGCTAGGATTACAGGTGTGAGCCACCAGCACACAGATGAGGACAGTATCTTATACACATAAGATACTGATCTCTAGGATTATATTGCCTAGTTAACATTATAGAAATTTTTGGTGTTATGTTTAACAATGAAAAATCACCCAATGATGTATTTCTCAGAATGTATCCCATCATTAGGTGACCTAAGACTGTATAAGACTGTACTTTGATACTTCCACAGGAGACTGGGGGTGGGGGCAGGGGGCAGAGGTGCCCAAATGTATTATCTCTTTGCTAGTCTTGAGGCTCTCCCAGCTCTACCTGGCCAGTGCCCTTTCATGGATGAATACAAGACGAAGTTCATCCTGCTAAGAAATCTATTGTGACTCTTCATCATTCCACCCTTCTTGTTCTGCTGCAAATCCAGGGCTCTCAGTGATCCAGCTTCACCCTACCCTCCTCAATTAATATCATGACCTCCACAGACTGCTGCACCCAGAAAACTTCTGTGTAATTACCTATTATGACCATCACCCAGTTGGTAAAATACCTGGGTGAATTTCTATATGAAATACATTATATTACTCTAGGCATCCAGCTTTGTCTGGCACTGGACACACACTGAAGAATTCTATGTGCTTTTAGTCAGTCAATGACTATTTCGTGTGGTTGTTGAAAAGGTTCATTAATAAAACACACTGACCTAGGCCCAGTCTAAATGCTCAGTGAAGGCCAGTTATACAGCTGCTACTAGATATGAGCCAGCTGTGGCCCCAATCTTATATTGTCACTCTATTGCCTGCTCATCCCTGAAATCCAAAAGTCAAAACCAAAACTAAAGCCAATAACTGAACTTTGCTTTTGTTTTCTGTCATCTGTATTCAGCATGAAAAGGTATGCTAAATATGCCTATATATAACTACACAATCCTTCCCTTTCATTAGCAAGCCCCTCTGCAGAGAAATGGAGAGAAGTGTGGCGTGTTTACTGTCACAGCCAGAACTTCGAAATTTACAAGGGAGACAAGACTGACACATGAAGAAATTATTTTCCTGTCACTTTGAGTACATCTTCCCATTTTTACATAGACACATGTTGACTCTAATCATACAAGGACCCATTCTTTGCCCTCCACTCTCCACCCCCCACCCAACTCGACTCAGCTCTGCCTCCAAATGAGCACATGTATTTAAGCTCCATCCATCCATAACTGCAAACTGCTCTCTGCTCTACCACACATTTGTTCTTGTCTGATTTACAGAGAGAGAGGAGGAAAAGGAGACTTGATTTTTCTGACTCTTCACAGTCTTTGTTTGCTACTCAATTATAGGAGTTTTTACAGGAAATTTAAGGGACAGCTGACTCGTGATTACAGAAATATCCCAGCCATAAGGAATCCATAGAAACCCCACACTTGGTCATGTGCTGGTGGCTCACCCCTGTAATCCTAGCTATTTGGAAGGCTGAGATCTGAGGAATGCAGTTTGAAAAAAGTTCCGGCAGAAAAGCCCATGAGACACCTCCAATTAACCAGCAAAGAGTTGAAAGTTATACTGTGACTCAAGAAGGAGAGTATGAGCGTTGAAGTGAAAAAGTCAAGTGTGAGGTCCTGAGTTCAAACCCCAATACCAGCACACACAAAAAGTCATTTTTTCCAACTGTTTTTCTTTCTCTTCCTTCCTGCATATGATGTTCATGAAGCTGCTAATGAAGATAATATCACATTAATTTGGGGTTCTTCCTGGGCTACTGCCTACTAATAAATGAACGGCCTGGCCAAAAGGAAGAGAATAAGAAGTCAAGCTCTCTAACTAAGGAACATTGCAGCATGTAGCTAGCAATGTAGCATTGGAATTTTCTCAGTTCCCAGGCCTATCTCTCTTACAGACACGCCATTCCTAGCCAGAGGATCCAGGCATAAGTAACCAGGTCCTTACCATCTTCTTCTTGGTAAACTCCATCACCATCTGGTCTGCCAACCTTTCCTGAGCCATTCGCTCTTCTTTCTGTCTCTGGTTTTCCTCGTTGATGCGCTTGATCTCAGCCTGAATCTTTAGTTTTTCCTGGTGCCTTCGTTCCATGTCCTGAAGGCAAAATGAAAAGAACCTCAGTATCGAAGGAGATGAGATAAACAGCTACTGGACACTGAGACAGAGAGTCACAAATGGAAGCAAGGGGATTAACACACTGCATGCAGTCCAGCTGCCACTACTCGCCCTTGATAAAGCTGTTCTTTCAATGGTAGTCAGTGACTCTGCCACCAAATGGACTCATCCCAGTCTTCATCCAATTCAACTCTGTGGGCTTTCCTGTTGCTGCTGATCATTATGCACTTCAGAAGTAGAGGCTTTTTTTTTTTTTTTCTCTTGGTCGTGGGGCTTCAACTCTGAGCCTGGACGCTGTCCCTGAGCTCTTCAGCTCAAGGCTAGTGATCTACCACTTGAGCCACAGCGCCACTTCCGGTTTTCTAGTGGTTTATTGGAGATAAACATCTCATGGACCTTCCTGCCCGAGCTGGCTTTGAACCATGATCCTCAAATCTCAGCCTCCTGAGTAGCTAGGATTACAGGCGTGAGCCACCAGTGCCCAGCTAGATGCTCTTAAAATGAAACTCAGTGTCTCCCTCATGCCATGCTAAGTCCTAGAACTGTGGGGTTTTTAGGTACTGCCATCCTCCTGCCTTCATTTCCTTCCTACTGAATTTCAGACTTTCAATCTGTATTCAGTATAATTAAGAAAGAAACAGGCATGGGCTGGGGATATGGATCAGTAGTAGGGTACTTGTCTAGCATGCACAAGGTCCTGAGTTTAAGTCCTACCACTACAAGAATAATAAAATAACCATTGTCCTAATTGAGTACTTTCCATTCATTGAGCACTTTGAATAGGCTTTCCCTAATACTTTAGACCTATTCAGGACGAACTGAGGCCCAATATATAAGTGACTTTCCCAAAGCTATACAGGGCCCAAATTTTGAACCTGCTTGTTCTTTCTCTGGAAATCTTTCTCAATTTTCTCCAATTCTAAGTTTTCTGAACTTAGGTGATGCTGTGTCTCTTGAGAAGTGATCTTGGAGTATACTCATTTCATAGGAACTCCTGTCCCTGCTGGAGGACAGGAACCTGTGTCCCATTCTCTCTTTCCCTTAATGCATGTAGCTCCATGTGAGAACGAAAGCAAGTAAGCCCAGCAAGAGGCTAAATGAGAACCAAAGTGAGTGAAATGAGAGGGAGGAAAGTTTTACACAGGGAGAAACCTGTGTCTCTGAGCAAGGGAGTAAACCTTTGTGATCCTGAGTGACAAGATCCTTTAGAAGGAAAGAGTCCCTGATTTTTATCAGTCCCAGTCTCCCAAATCTCCCAATGATCAAACCACTTCAGAGGCTAGGCACATTCTCAGATCACAATGCTGGGGGGGTAGGAGGGTACTTAAGAATCTTAGGCCTTGTTTAGTCCTATTGACCTCAAAGCTAAAGAAACTACTGACCCCTGATTGGTAGCATATGTTTACTCATGTATTATTTGCTTAATCTTCCACTTATTTTTTTCTAGCTTGGTTTTTTGTGTGTGTGTTTGTCGCTTTGGTTTGCAATACTGAGGATTAGACTCAAGACTTATACATGCAAGGCAAGTACTCTGTGACTTGAGGTATGACCCAGTCCTTTGTTGTTGTTGTTGTTTTGTTTGTTTTTTGTCAGGTGGGGCTTGAACTCTAGGCTTGGGTGCTATCCCTGCGCTCTTCAGCTCAAGGCAAGCATTCTACCGCTTGAGCCACAACACCACTTCCGGTTTTCTGGTGGTTAATTGGAGATAAGAGTCTCACAGACTTTTCTGCTCAGGCTGGCTTTGAACTATGATCCTCAAATCTCAGCCTCTTCAGTAGCTAGGATTACAGGCTTAAGCCACTGGTGCCCAGCTCAGTCCTTTGTTTTTAATTAATTCTTTTTTTACTTGTTGTGGCAGTACTGAGGTTTGAACGCTGGGCCTTGTACTTGTTAAGCAGCCACTCTACCACTTAAGCCATACCTCAGTCCTTTTGTTAATTATCTTTTAGACAAGGTCTTATTTTTGTTGTAAGACCAGCCTCAGATGGATATCTTCCTAACTATGACTCCTGTATTGCTGGGATCGCACACATACCACCACCACCACCACCACACCATATATGGCTGTATTTTGTTTTTCAGATAGGGTCTGACTTTTTGCCCAGGCCAGTCTCAAATTCTTGGCTTTCCTGCCTCCACCTCCCAAGTAGCTAGGATTACAGACATGTACCACCATGCCCAGTTTGGTTTTGTTGTTTGGGTTGGTTCATTTGATTTCCAAGGAACTGAAGGACTTTTGCTGTCTTTAAAGCCCTTCAAAGCAACCCAGAGAAATTCCCTTTTCTCTTCTTCATCTTTGATAACATGGTAGGAAGAGCTGTCTTAAGATGACATGCAGC